TAGTAGCCCTGTGTGGTAGATTGGGGTGATTGACCGAAAGTCACCTCATGACTTCCTTGGTTAAGTGGAGACTTGGGTCATACCTTAATGACTGAACCACACTGGTTTTCAGATCTCCTATCCTATCTTCTCCACCCCTCCCCTCCCTGTCCATCCTGTGAGTCAGAGTGAAAGCAGAAGCTGGTGAATATTACATAGGGTGAAGCCAAGCAGAGCCAGAAGAGCTATTTAAAACTTATCTTGGTTTTGCAGTTCTCCTTGTCTTTTAAACAGCCCCCTTTGCTCTGATCAAGATCTTGTGATATAAAGGAATTTCCTAAAGGGAAAAACCTGGTAAATTGTTGACCTGCAATATTGATGATTGTAATTTTTATAATAAATAACATGGGATGTGTCAGTTAGAATAGAGCTGGAAAGGACCTTGGAGGTCTTCTAGTCCAATTTCTTAAAAACCTCCAGTGATGAAGCATGCACAACTTCTGAAGGCAAGCTGTTCCACTTGCTAATTGTCCTCAGTGTTAGGAGGTTTCTCCTAATTCCAGGTTGCTTCTCTCCTTGATTAGTTTCCATCCATTGTTTCTTGTCTTACTTTCTGGTGCTTTAGAAAATAAGTTGACCCCATCTTCTTTGTGGCAGCCCCTCAAATACTGGAATATTGCTATTATGTCACCCCTAGTCCTTTTTTCTAGTCACACCCAGTGCCTGCAACCATTCTTCATATGTTTTAGTCTCCAGCCTTTAATCATCTTAGTTGCTCTTCTCTGCACATTTTCCAAAATCTCAACATCTTTTTTGTAATGTGGTGACCAAAACTGGATGTAGTATTCCAGGTGAGATCTTACTAAGAATTTATAAAGTGGTGCTAATACTTCACTTGATGTTGATTCTTTGCCTCTGTTTATACAACCAAGGATTGTATTAACTATTTTGGCTGCTGTTGCATACTCCTCTCCATTACAAACTATACAACAATGAAAGAGCAATTGTGATTGTAGCAGTGGAAGGAAAAAAATATTTTTCCTGAAAATTTACTGAAAGGAACAAATATTTTTCCTGAAAATTTACTGGATTGTTAATTCTGATCATTGTTAATTCTGATCATTTTAAAGATAATCTGTCAGTAGGGATTCAGCCAAACTCTGGATTTAGGAATGAAGCACTGTTCATTCTGTTAGCAATTGAAGCATTATTCTTTTATGGCTGATAGCTAATTTTGAATAGTTTAACAGACTGAAAGGAAACAAATGACAAATTATGAGAATAGTAGTGCATAATAATAGTAGAGCAACAAGCAGAATTTTTACAAGAAAGACATTTCCAGTCTGTATATCTCCTGCAGAGATTTTATTTTATATAAAAATAAAGAGAAACAGTTTTTTTAAATATACCACTAAAATATCTATAAAGTACGCATAGAAATCTGGCAGATATTTTTTACATTTCATGGTCTTTTGGCTGTGGTGTTTACTTTTTCACTCCCTTAGAATTTTGGGATGTCTTTAGTTCCCAAAATTTCTCCAGGTAAAATATATATCTAATGAACACCACAGTAAGCCATGAAAGTTTATGTTGCATCAAAAATGAAGGCAAATTAATTTTTCTTTCCTTTCAATGCAATGAAGTGCACTGTTTTATGCTACCACTTAATTAGCCAAACTGAGTATAATTCAAGATGGTGTTATTAAGGGCTTCATGGCATAGGGCTTAGCTGCTTGGGGGATCACTTGTTTCCGAATGTTTCCACTTATCAGGGAAGGTACGGTTGAGTTGGCAAGCTTTGGGTCCCATTGATTAAACAATGACATTGTCTAGAACCCAGAAAGCATGCCTTTTTTGATGTGGTGCCCTCTAGAATGACATTGCTCCAGGAGAGCCATATAATTCCCACCCCAATGACAATCAAGAAACTATTAAACATTTGGTTGTTCTCCCAGCCTTGGGATAGGATGGTTGTGAAATTGCTATGATTTTGATTCTTTTGGTATTGAGCTAACTTCCTGGTTGGTTGTGGTTTCTTTTATTTTTTACTTCTCTTTTAATTGTAAGCTACCCAGAGTTGCTAAGGTGTTGGATTGACTTCAAATCAAATGAAGAAAAACTAAATAAATACATAATAATAAAGTATTCTGAATCTCCTACCAATTAGAGCCATTCCTGGATTAAGTTATCATGAGTGAGAAGAAAAAAGCTTTTTCTTCCATACCACACAAAATGTTATGCATTCTATCACGTCTCTCATCTTAATTGTTTTTTAAGCTGAAAAATCTCTCTGTAAGCCTTTTCTTAAGGGGTGCTACTCTTACTTTGATTATTTGTGTAGCCCTTTTTCTCCATCTTTTCCAATTATGTATATAGCACCATTTTAAAGGACAATGATTAATACTGTATACAGTGTAGAATTCAAAGAGTGATTTATACTATAAGAGATTAAACATAGGCCATTTTATACCCCTTGAAATCTGTCAGCACAAAAGATTGGGGACTGGTTTAGAATTTTGAGATGCTCTGGTTAAGGTAGTATTTATTCTTGTCTTTTACATGTCTTAATTATTTTGAGAGACATTGGGCTGTAGAAAGAAATTAATGGAAAAGATTGAAAGGTATTATATTATATATAAGTGACATGCAGAGGTGGGTTCCTATCGGTTTGGACCAGTTTGGCCGAGTAGGTAGTAACTCGGCTGGCCATGCCCCTGAACCTATCAGCGGCGCCGTAGGCCCCGGCCATCTTGTTTTTTGCTTCTGCGCATGTGCAGAAGCAATGTTTTTAATACTGCACAAGCGCATGCCTGAAGCACATCCCTAAGTGAACCAGCAGTAGAAGAAGCCGGAACCCACCCCTGGTGATGTGGGATAGTTTTCTAGAGAGTTTTATTTTGTTTAAAGCCCATTTTCTTTTTTTCTCGCAATTTCTGAACAAGGGTGTTCGGCCTGTGAATAAACCCTTTGTCCATTTGCATGGTAGTTGCTATGTATTGCCTGTGTTATGACAGCAAGAAATATGACAGCTTAATCTGCTCTGATAGGGTTTGTAAGCTCTTCACACTCCATGACTGAAGAAGGCAGCTTGTGAAAGAGTTGAGGCACTTTAAGGACATCAGCTTCACCAGCAGGGTGTAAACTCTTGGATGCATATTTAGGAATCCAAATAAGCAGCTGCATTCATTCTTAGAAGTGTTGAACAGGTCTGAAAAATCCATGAGGAAGCTTATTCATTGTAGGAATTTTCTTACTACAAATTATGATTGCCTAAACCTTAAATCAGACTTCCCTGACTTGACATTCTCCAAACACTTTCTCAGGTCAGTACAAAGAATGTCTATAGAGTTTGAGAGTAAGGGGGACTTATAACATTAGTGAGCATTGGTGCAGGAAAGCTTGGTGCAAGGTGTAAGAGTTAGTATGACTAGAAAACTCACGAGATGTATACTGAATGGCAAGAAATCCAACTGCTTACCCAGAATATTAGAAATGAATGTTTGAATTATATGTATAGAGTAAACATTATAGGCATAGAAAAAGCATGAGAAAGAATGGTTTCTATCTCAAACATCATCTCTTCTGTGAACTTTCTAAGCCACTGAGTCTCATCCTCTATCACTCATTTATCACATGAGCATAGTAATCTAGACTTTTTAAATGTTAAATTTAACTATTCTGTGATAGGCAAATACTGACTGCAATATGAAGCAAATTATTAGGAAGGAGATAATCAGCAGCTTGTTCTGTGTCATCTCTCTTTCTGGACTTTTTAAAAAGAATTTCCAAATATTCTTATTCTTTTATCATGGGCCTCTTGAATTCTACTTATATCACATGCCAGAGCTTTTGGTAACCTGCCCAGAGATGATACAGAAAGAAGAAATGAATAGGTTTTTTTTAAAAAAAAATCCCTACATGACAGATATTACTATAGAGGGAAGTAAGATTGTTACTTGATTTAAATCTGAAATTCTTCCCCCTCCCCTTTCCTTTTAAAATGAAAGCAAGTGATTAAGGAAGGTTATAGTTTTGGGATTTTGGATTAGCCCCAGAGAATTGAAAGTTCAATTTCACTCTCAGTCACAGAAACTCCTTAAGCGGCTGGCCATTTACTCTCTTCGATCCCAGCCTACCTCACAACATTATTGTTGTGGGGGGGGGGGGATGGAAGAAAGGCTATGTATACTGTCCTGAACTCTTTGACAAAAGGCAAATATTAATCTAACAAGTAAATATAATTTCTTACAAAAGGAACAAAGATAATAGTAAATGAAAAGTATGTGTAACTAAAAAAGCAATTTTTAAAAAGAAAGTTATGTTATCATAAAATAGGACCAGTTTTTGGAAGAGAAATTTATATACATTATATAAATGTGCCCTTTCAAAGCTGTTTGTGGAGTCATTTTTGCACCAGCATTTGCACTTTTTAGATTTTTATGATGCTGCTTATAACTTGAAAAGTACAGACAGAAATGCATGCTGTTTATGCAAAAAATCTCACATTAATATTAATGAATAATCACTTGCTTAAAGACTACAAGCTTGCAGACAAATGCAAAAAACATATGATCAAGCATATGTACTGTACATATTTTTGTACATATTTTTGTTTTGCCTTTTTCTCCTTAATTTGAAAACTGATGCAACAAAGGCTCAGTAAAGTGAGAAAAGGAACAAGTGTTTTTGTATTTTAACATTTGGGAAATATTGGTGAAAACAAATTGTAATTTGTTGTGGGTAGTTTATATCAATTTCAAAAGCAATAGTGTCCTTCAGCTTGCTAATTGAGTGCTCTGGGAGTTTGAGATCTAACACATCCAGAGCTGGGAAGACTGAACTAGAAGTAAAAACTAGATATGCAAAATAACAGGTTGTAAGTCACTTGTTCTACTAGACTGATTAGAAGGTTCTTAATGTTGAGAGGTTTGTTAGACCAGTTTTAATCCCTTGTGCAAGTGATCGAAAGCTAGAATTTAACGCTAAATCCATGAGCCTCAACCCTTCCATTTTCTTCTTAGGGCTTTAGGTATCCCTAACAAACTTTGACACATCCCAAATATCAGCCATGGCATCTCGCATTGGTTTACGGATGCAGCTTATGCGAGAACAAGTACAACAGGAGGAACAACGGGAGCGCATGCAGCAGCAGACAATGATGCATTACATGCAGCAGCAGCAACAAATGCCAATGGCTCCTACCCCAGCCATCAACACACCAGTTCATTTCCAATCACCACCATCTGTGCCAGGAGAAGTCTTAAAGGTATAGTTGCGAGAATAAAACTTTGGTACTGGAGAACGAAGGAGGCAAATAGAATATCTTTTAAACCTGTTACATTGCAAGAAATGAATGGCTGGCTTGCTTGCCTGTTTATTATTTATTTATTTATTAAATGTATGTGCCTCACATTTCACTATTGAGTGAGTCTTAACGGCTTACCAATATACCTGCTATACCAATTGGAAAAATAGATTGGAAAATGAGCAAGTTCCTTCATTTGAATTAAGCATTTGTGTGTGTTTAAATGCTTCCAGATGCAATTCAAGGTGCTGATGGTTAACTTAAAAGTTATTCCTGGCTATTTATGGGGCCACCTCTTCCCAATTGTGCCTAGCCATCCTATTAGCTCCAACAGCAGAGGCATGTTCTGGGTCTCCCGTGAGATAGTGACCTTTTGTGTCATAGCACCTGCTCTGGAACCACTCCAATCCAGAAATCAAATTTTTGAAGAAATGAAAATCTGGCACTGCCATCAGGTTTGGGGCTCTGATATTATAGATAACTCATTTTATGGAGGGGTGTTTTGTTTTAGTATGAACACAGCCTGTTTCTTTCTGAAGATGTATATATTTGAAAATTATGTGATAGCTCTTCTATTTCTCCAATACTTTTTAGGTTCAGTCCTTCTTAGAGAATCCTACCACATATCATATCCAAAGGTCACGAGACAAGAAGGTCCAAGAATATCTGTCTGAAACTTACGGGAACAAGTTTGCACCGCTACTTGGTGCTCCTTCTCCCAAGCCGCCTCCTTCAGCCTCCCCTGGGGTGAGACCATGCCATGCCATGCCCTCTTCTGCAGGCAACAGCACTCCAAACAGTCCAATGGCAATGCTTAATATCAGCTCCAATCCAGAGAGAGAGGTTTGTACGTTCTTTGGGGACACAGGAATTGTTGAAGAGGCTGGGTTAAAGCTGTGGTTAGGAAGCACTCAGGTTCTTTACCCTCATCCTGTAGTCTGCAGGATGAGGGAAAAGTCCAGCTGTAATTCAATCACATGATTCTCTGATTATGTAACATAGGTGGGTGAGTTGGGGGGGGGTGTTAAAGAATGAAAGGTGGTGTTTTGCATCACACTTCTGTTACAGGAAACTATCAGAGAGAACTTGGAGTTTGGGTGATTCCGCTGAAGCCTCAATCAGATAAAGTTGGTCAAACAACAACAAACCTACTCTGATTTGGACCCTGACTCAGCAAGTCCATCAGAGATGCTTGGGGTCTGTTCTTAGAGCAGCCCTGAGTCAGTTGGAATCAAATGTCGTCTATTCAAATCAATCAATGAATCAATCTTACATTTTCCATGTCTGTACATTTATATACATTTTTGAAACCGCCATCAAAATGCATTTTAAAAAATTATGTCTGATAGCCTTTTTGTCCCTATTTTAGATAGATGATGTCATTGAAGATATCATGCAGCTGACAACTACTGTGGGGTGTCTTAATCCAGAAATTCATATGCCCAATACTGTGAGTATGCCTTTTAAAAAAAACTTTATTCCTAAGCAAAGAAGTGATCATTGGAGAAGGAAAAAAGCAACTGAAATAAAGTTGCATCTATCCTTCCTTTCTTTCCAAATAATTAATTTGGTGTCACTGTTTTATAGGAGACCAATAGTAATATTTATGAATGCAAACATTTTAAAATAGTAAACCCTATTTTCATAACATGTGTGAGATGACACACATACATTGTAAATATTTGAGCCACCTGCATATTATGAATGGGAGATACATGGTTGGGAAGAGTGGTGAAGTGTTAAAGGCCACAGGATATTCCTGTCCTCTATTGGCCGATACTTTCTTATCCTCTATTTTCTGTCTTAGAATAAATGTGCATTTGTCTCCCTTCCTTCGTTTTCCAGCTGCCTCTGTCCAGCAGCCATATGAATGTCTATAACAGTGACCTCCAGATGACTCCTTCTGTGGTGGGCATTACCAGCAGCTCTTGCCCTGCTGATCTCACTCAAAAGAGAGAGCTTACAGGTAACATGGCAGGTTGTGTGGCCAATGTGTATATGCCTAAATGGTCAGGGCAATTTTTAGTGCTTGCTTTGCCTCAGACTGTAGGTCAGCAGTGAAACTTTATACACATGCATGCATGTGTTTATAAAATGAAACTTGTTCTGGTTGGCCCACTGCTTTTCATAACAACTTGTTGTGATATCTTTAGATGCTGAGAGCCGTGCTTTGGCTAAGGAACGCCAGAAGAAGGACAATCATAATCTAAGTAAGTGGAGGCTGGTTAAAACCATGTGGCTGAAATGCATTCTGCTATATCTCAGTAGCTCTTTTGTTGATCTAATTTGTGGTCAATAATTTAGAAACAGTATTTTTATGCACAAGCATGAGTGTGCTCTATTTATTATTCTGATGCAGAGAATGTAAAGAGATCAGTTACATTTAATGGTCATTGAATGCACGAGGAGCTGATTTACTACCCCGTGCAAAACCATGCTTTCATATAACTAATTTTATCATTTGATTTGCTTCACTATCTGATTGATTCATAGATTTCCCCCCTCCCCCACTTAAAATGTCCTTTTTGGTTTTGTTTTCCTTCAAGGGAGGGGAGGGGTTTTTAAGTGATATATACATTCATGTAATAGCTGCCTTGTTCAGGAAAAATGCAGTCACACATAGTTTTATTAAATTAAAATTTAATAACCATCCTCTTGTTTGTAATCATAATATGATTACAAATTGTTGAAAATAGTAAAAACAAACAAACTGTGGTATATTGCTACCCATGAATTAAATGAAGAACCCTTCTTTTCTTTTCTGGTCATATGTGGGGAAGTGACCTAACCCCTGATATGGTTCCTTATTATATTACCAGCCAGTAATAAAAGATTACAGCAAAAACCCTACTTGGTTTTTCTTTAGAAGATTGTAATATTTGGTACAATTTGGATTGTAATATTTAGTCTCTGTTACCTCGTAGGGTCCCTGCTCCGGAGCTTGTCGGGTGTGAGTCCCTGCTGATAAAGTTGGACCTCAAGGGTCAAGTGGGTTTGCTGCTAACG